GGGACAGTCAGACTCTGGCTTCTCACAACCCTCCCCAAGCAGTCCAGAGACCCCGCCCCAGGCAACAGGAAGGTCTGCTGGGACCTGCAGCACTGTCCGGGCCCTGGGCCCTGGGGGGGGGGGGCAGACCCCACTTTCCGACTGCTGCAGGCTGGCTTCCTGTTACTCTCTCGTCAAGCCCGCCGACCCTCCTTCCCAAAGGTGGAGGAAGCGGCCTGTTGCTGGGGTGGGCCAGGCCAGGTCAGCGTGTGCTGTGTGCGCGCCGGGGGCTGGAGACTGGCCCCGGAGGCCGTCCAGAGGCCAGGCAGGCGGTCCCAGGCGAGGCGTCGCTCCAGACCCAGCTGTGTGGCGCAGGGCCTCTGGCGCCCTGGGCCCAGTGGACACCTGCACACGTGTGTCGACCGCGTCCCGCGCGGCACCCGAACTCGCCACACGGCCAGGAACAACAGTTAAGGTTACTTTACTGCTCCCTTTGCAGACTGAGTCTGGACTGGGGGGGGACGTGGCCCCCACATGGCCTGGAGCCCCCCAGCGGGGCCCAGACCTCCGGCCCAGCCTAGCCACCCCGGGTATGGGGCTCTCGTCACCAGACTCCAGGCGCACCCTCAGGGCGGGCTCAGAGGGCGCCCCCAGTGGCTCCAGGCCGAGGCAGGGGGTGCAGCCAGGGCGGCCACTGGTCCTCTCCCCAGCTGGCCCCGGGGTTCCCTTTCTGCAGGAAGAAGATGTGGGGCTGCTTCCAGACCTGTGGGGGACACAGGGGCCGGACTGGGGGAACGGGCGGGAGCCCCACTCGTGCCGCAGGGCTGGGGCCAGGCAGCACCTGCCAAGGTCCAGTCAGGCCTCGGGCGCCATGGCGGGCTACAGGGCGGCACCCCCGCCTGCCTAGAACCCTGGCCCTGAGAAGTCAGGCGTGTCCTGGTGGCTCTTGGGGGGACAGTGCTGGCCACCCCAGGGGTGTAACCGCCAAGCTGGGCCGCAGAGCTCAGCAACCACCCTGGAGGGGAGGGGCTGAGGTGCAGGGGCAGAGCTGGGGGCTGCATGGGGGGTTCGCCTCCAGCCCCCCCTCCAGCCAGCGGGTGAGGAGCTGGTGCGGGGCTAGATCCACACGGTGGTCTTCCCCTCCCGGCTGCTGCTGCTGCCCTTCTCAGAGCCCGCCCTGGGCTTGGCGCTGGGC